ACTTATTGTATCGTAGTCACCAGGTTAAACATCGACGGTGGTGGTGGCTTGTTTACGGTGCTTGCTTTTGCGTATTCGGGCTCCGACCAAGGCCACTGCTAGGCTTGCCGGCAACGTCAATGGCACGGTGCTTTGAGCCGTCCGAAGACGTGGTATTTAGTACCACCGCCGTCGCCATATGCCTTCATCATGCAGGAGGTTCGTCGGACAAGCGGGAGCAGCCGTGGATTGGAAGATGTCGGCCGGGCACCCCACGTGGTTTCCAGCGTTTGAGAGGCGGTCGACCTCATGCCTTAGGCCTCTGATTCTACTCCTTCAGGCCATGCACGAGACCAGCATTGATTGGTGGAAAGTACAAGAAGAACCGATGTGAATGAAATATGTCTTGAAATGTAGACCGACGAAGTATCATTACTTCGAACCGCCAAACGTTTTACGCATTTACTTGCGTGGCTTAGTACAAAGGCTGATTTTCGACATTGCGTTTCGCTATGGCGCTGCCATGCTAAGATTCGGTTCTATGCGCACTTTGTCTTTCATTTCTGATGGTTACGGAACTTGCCTGCCGAATTCTGTCAGGAACTGATTCGTGCCTGGTGGAGTGCGTTGAGCCAGGAATTTTCTAGCGACGCGGGACGTTTTGCCGGGACGTCGTCGTGCGTTTCAACGGGGAAGAGCAATGGCGGTGTGCGTATAACCGGCCCATCCACTATGGCACCAGTCTTTCCACCGTTCGGTGCACAGTTTGGCGTATCGTCAGCCAGTACCATACAGGTTTTTATTCTAGTTCTAATGCATATTTTCGGCTTAGTATCCCACCACCCCTCCTTTCGTTGTGCTTACTCACATTGACTTTTTCTCCCTTCCCCTCGTCGATGGTCAAACGACTACGGCATGCACGACTATGAGTACACCCCCCCTCGTCGACAGTGAATTCGAAGTGTCTATGCCTACAAAACTAGCTGTCCACCGCAAATGACCATAAGCCAAACCGCTCCAGCGGGAGACTCGAACTTCGACCTGCTAAAGGAGGTTTATGAGGCTAACCACTACTTAAATAGCCCAGCAGGGAGACCGCATGTGTGCTGCGATGGAATACGAGCGTACACAAACGACAGCAGTGGTCGGCGACGTGCAAGCATTTGCGGTTTCAGATTTGGATGCAACCGTGGTTGTTTATGAATATAACCATCCAGTGGTCCGCGTAACTGTTTCGTGACTGGACAACAGCTACCGCTGAACAGCCTCGTTAGTCGAACCAGATTCGGCTTCCTCCAACGAGTGCCATCACTTTTTTGTTGCTGAAATGTTTCCCCTGTGCTGTACTCCCCGCACATACTGGTGGATATTTATATGCCATTGGGGGGCAGTCCCAAGGTGTGTATACTTCTATACAGCATATATCTTACTTTACCCGGTGCTGTGTGCGCGAAGACGACAACAGACTTCAGGCTAGTGATAACTCCCCAAGGGTGGGGCGACTGCGAAAGTACATCGCCCCCAACATCTCGTCGTGGTGAATGATTCATGGTATCCTCGACTTGCCCGGGATATGTTTGGACTCTCCACCGATCTTCATGAAACATCTCAATAGATAGTTGCGGTCCGTCTACTGCTGTACGGAAGTAGGTTCAGAGACCTCCTTCGCGCGTTCGTATGCATATGTTTCTCGGAGCAGCGAGCAGCCTCTCCGTCTTTTGTCAATGCAATCAGTCCGGACCGACGACACATCAAGGCAAGGTCGAGCGCTCGGGCGAGTGCGTGTGGGTTTTGTAGCGTGGAGGGCCGCGCGTACGGATCGTTTTTTTTTGTAATGCAACGAATAACACACACCTGTTGACTAATAGATCAACAAGCAATCGGGCACAGGTGGGGTTACGGAGAGCGTATGAGCTTTAACCTCGATTTGGGCGTGGTACAGTATTCACAACAACCCCCAAAACAAAAAAGGCAGGGTGTAAGACTGTTACTGGTGTCGTCTGGGAGGGCTGTAGAGCACAGCAGTACAGGACAAACCCCGATTGATTGGAGGCGACGTTGGGAGCTCGGCACACGCGTGGACTACCTGTGTTGCGTTAGAAATTTCTCTCTGGACGTTGATGACCTTCTCATCTCCCGTGATGGGTGACAGAGAGAGCGATCTAAAGGGTGCAGCAGCAGTGGATAATCGAAATCGATCTGATTCCGTGTACTTCACAGTGGTCTACCGTAGACTCTCCACACGTTTTTTGGACGTCGCGTGCGTTTCCGTTTCTCTCCTCATGGCGGCAATGGCCGGGAGAACAAAAAACGGCGGAGGTATTCGGAGCTGCAAGAGACAAACGGAAGAGCAATGACTCGCGCCTCAAAAGAGTGTGTGCCCAACCAATGAATACCCCACCAGACCGCAAGACAATTGCGAGGGTCGCCGTTGGGGGGTATGCGATAATCGTACGTTTTCTTCAGCAGCTCTGTTCCCTGCAGGACACCCTACAAAATATCCATAGATGACAGACATCTATCTGGCGAACAGCGTGCTGCGGGAAGGAGTTGTGCGCACGTTTACGTGGCACGTGCTTCTCATGCCATATGCTACGCGTTCGTCCTGTTGCGACTTCGTCCTCTCCCTTCCCTGAGCACGTGTGTGTCGATCATGTGCACAGCACGATTTCTACAGTACCTGGTACTGCACAAGCACGCTTGTGTGTATGTATGCACATTTTGCACTTACGGATTGGATTATTCATTCATATATTTCGTGACATCTCTGTTCACCCGGAGAGCGCGTGCCTTGTTGTGTGAACGTGAATGAAATGCCGCACCTTTAGAGGATGATCGTTCTGCCTGGTCTTCAGCAGCATCCGCTCTAACGATCGCGGGAGGGTGTACTGGCCGGAACGGCGGCTTCTCACCATCCTCCCATGCATTGCTGTTGCACCCAGCGCCAGGATCCAAATTATTTGCTTCGTTCCTGGCAGAAGCTGCTGCTGCTGCTGTTGTTGTTGCTGCTGCTGCTGCTGCTGCTGTTGCTGCGCCTCTCGAGTTTCTTCCCTGCTTCGTGCACCGGGCGCGCTTGCTAGAGCTAGTTTCGCTCTTCATCCTGGTTGCTGCTGCGACGAACGAGAGCGAGGAAGGGCGAGCGAAGAGCGAGCGCAGAGAGGTTGGTTCTCTACGTGTGGGTGTGCGCGTGTGCACGGTCCAATCAAAAGATCCCAATCCCGCGGCCCACAGAGTGGGGGGGGGTCGTTGTCTTACTGTAAGTCCGGGTGGGCGGCCCCCTCTGTCGGGAAGGGTAGGACAAGACAGGAGGAGCGACAAGAATCAGCAGCAGGGCGAGTGATCGGAGAGGACGGAGCGCAGCACACGGCAGGTGTGTTTACCATAGACCTGATGTATGCAAGGATTTGTAGGGGCGTTCCTTGTGCTCTGAAATCGTGAGTCCCAACCTATACAACAGAATGCACTACCTCGCTCGTTCGCATCTGGTCCCCGATTCCTATGCGTTTCGGTAGCTACTCATCGGACGTACATTCGAGGTCCAGCAGTAGCAGCAGTTCAAGAGCGACGAGGCACAGAAGCTGAAATGACCATGCGTTGGTCTCTGAGAGCATGGGTCGCATACGCAACCAAGCCCTTCGATCAATCCCATGAGCTAACTCGGGGTGTCGCTGCTGCTGGTGCGGCCGATTCTTTACCCGACGCCGGCCGCGCAGCACCCGAACCTCAAGATTGCAGTCCCCCATCCAACCCAGCAGGCGGTTAGTGAGTGATGTGAGAGGATGCACACACCGGGCCCCATGCCAGCATAAAAGTTTGCAGATCATAGTGCGGCGATATTCCATAGGAATCCAATGTTGGGCCTCGCCCGGTTGTCCCTCCTGGAAAGTAGTTGCCTGCTGTGTGCCCTCGTTCCCGAAGACACTCAAGAGGGGAATGACTGACTACAGTACTGTGACCTCATCTCCTCTGTTTGAAGCCAAGTTTGAACTGCGCCCCCACGAAACTTCTGCTTGCTGCGATCACGCCTGCCGCCTCGCCGCTTTTCTGCCTGTGTGTGTTCATATAAACTGCTGTTGTACTAGCGTGCTGTTTTGTGCTGTTTTGTGTGTGTTCGCCCGGGCCCTCACCCCGATGTGCTCAGCACCCCGTTGGTGTGTGTTTGCCCTCGCCGATATCCTTGTCTCTGCCGTTCCCCGCGTGCCCTGGATCACTGCCTCTTGTGCCTGCTGCTGCCTGCTGCTGACCGACTACATGGCAGAGGGTACAAAGAGAAGAGAGACGGGCAGCGGTGACGGGGAAGGGGTGTTGAGAGCGGGACACCCCACAGCGCACGGGACAAGGCAAAGAGGGCTGCTGTTGGTCCTGCCTGTTTTTTCGCCGCAGCGCTGTCACCCCAGGGCCAACATCCAACATCCTACACACACCGCACCGACGAGCTTCCACACGAGAAGGAAGAGAGACGGGGGTGGCATCCTCTGCGGCGAACATTCCGTTGATTCTCTGGGGTTTTCTTTTTTCCCCGGGAAACGCGCACGGATCCGGGAGGACAAAGGCAGGGGGCGGGAAGACCTCTGCCCCGACCTGCTGCTGCTGCTGCCGCCGCCGCCGCCGAGTGTACGGTGGGGATGCTCCAAGGAAGGATCTAGGGAAGCACAAGCGAGAGAGCAAGAAGCAAGAGGCGGCGTTCGTCGCCCGTAAGGAAAAGCTTTTTTATCTCCGCTACATCGCGGCACACGGCCAAGAATCAGCTGCTTTGGTAACAGAACGCCGTTCTTCAACAAGAAGAGTCGGAGCGGGGTTGAGCCTGGGTTATTCTTGCCAGGACGAACGTGGCGGGTGGCTGCGTCCTGCTACAAGCAGGCGGCGCTGCCAGGCTGATTCCCCTCGCGCTCGCAGGAAGGACAACCAGAGGCGCCAGCGTTATAGCCCCTGCGCGCACCAGCCAGCCACCGGCGTTGTGTGTCCGGCGTCAGCGATACTGAGGGAGGAGAGGGAACGGTGGCGTAGTGGGTACGGCGGTGATGGGGGCCGATAGCGGGAGAGCAAGCGATACACAACGACACCCGCAGCAGGTGGGTTCGGCGGGGTTCTCGCCCCAATCCGCGGCGGCGATAGCGACCTATCCGACGGGAGCAGCGGCGGCGGCGGCGGCGGCGACATCCACGGCCGGGAGCGGGGGGGGAGAAGAGGGCGAGAGCTCTTGTCCTCTCTCTCGAAATAGTGTCGGCCAGCAGCAGCAGGTGCCAGGGTACTCCGCAGCAGCAACCGCAGCGGCGGTGATGATCTTCTCCGGAGAAGAGGTGATGCTCGACAGCGGGGGGGGCAGCAGCGGCGGTTGCGACTACATCCCGGCGCCAGCAGTAGCGGCGGCCGCAGCAGCAGCCGCAGCGGATGTCGGCCTCGCCACGCCAGCACTACCCAGCGGTGGCGGCGGCGGCGGCGGCGGGGCCGGAGGTGAAGTCTACTTCTCCGCGGCCGGGCCGTTGGTAGTGGACGAGCATTCTTCGGCGGCGGCAGCGGCGGCGGCGGTGGCGGCGTACACCGGCGGGATGCTGGCGAAGGGGGGAGGCGGCGGGTACGCGGGACCTTCGCACGAGGAGGTGCAGCAGCAACAGCAGCAGCAGCAGCAGACTCTGCCGCTATCGCCCCCGCTGGCGCCGCTTGATAAGGACAGGTTCAAGTGAGTTTCGTTTTCCCTGGCGGTTCCACCGCCAAGTAGAAGTACAATCATGGTGCTGGGACTGGCTGGGCGAGAGAGATCTCCTGCCCGGTCGCTAACTGGGAAGCGTTTCGACAAGGCGCGCTCAAGCGGCCATCGTTGCTGCTGCTATTGTTGTTGTTGTTGCTGCTGCTGCTGCTGCTGCTGCTGCTGCTACTACTGTGGTGGTGGTGGTGGTCGTTATTGTTGTTGCTGCTGCTGCTACTGCTTCTTCTGCGGTTGCTGTGGCTGCGGTTGCTGTTGATGCTGTCGTTGGTTTTCGCTGTTGTTGCTGCTGGTTGGAAGATTCGGACTGCAGGTGGACGTGTCACGACGCTCCCTGTAGCTTGTCTTGGTCGCGTGGGAGCTGAACACCGTCGATTTGAGAGGCTGCGTTCGCAGCCACAGCTGGTCGTGAGCTCTTGCCGCTTGCTTAGCAGCAACAGCGTCGTGCGCGCCCGCGTCGATTCTGTGCGTTTTATCTACACCCCGAGAAAATTTCTGGCGCGCATCACATGATTACACGGAGCCCCTCTTGGCATCGCCAAAACGTGTATTTTGCTATCATAGTGTAACTGTTCTTCGTTTGGCCTCTCTTTTGTCACATATGTATCAACGTCTTCATTCCTCTCGCCTGTCTCTACACGGATGTGTGCATGCGTGCATGTATGCATGCAGAGCCGAGGCGATGGAGCTGGAGTCGGCGTTTCGCTCTCGGGACTCCGGGGTGCACGGCAGGACCGACGAGGGGGATGCGTCCGGACGGCAGCTCGCCTCCGCTAGGCGGTTGAGATCCCTGCTGTCCTCCAACAGGCGAGGGGCCGAGAAGTCGAGAGTAGTCTTTCGTCGCCTTGTCTTGGCTTGGGGAGTTTGATTGGAGGGGCGTAATCATACTTTTGCGTCCCTTGTGGCGGGTTGACCCTTGACGGCCCGCCCTCGAGAGGACGGAGCGTCTTCCCGCACAGGACCGATCTCGCCGTTGGCCAAATCGTTCCTTCCTACTTTGCCCAAGGTGGCTCCAGTGTGTTTTCCCTTCACCCTATGTGTATCCTGTCGATATTTCTTCCCCGTCTTCTCAGCCCTCTTCCTGGGTAGCTTTGGGGGGGGCGGGGGGGGGGGTATTGGCGGTAGTTGTGGTGTCTTTGCCTTTGCCGTTGTCGTGGCCTTCCCGCGTTTGATGGGGTCTCTCTTCCTGCTCTCGACCATACAGAATGCCAGGACCGCTTTCTCGAGGATGTTTTAATGAAAAAAGAGGGAGTTACCCTACCCCCAACCCAACCCGTACCCCGCTAATAAAAATTGCCAAGCTTAATATCCTCGCGAAATCCTCCTGGAATGTCATGGGCCTACACCTTGTGCTACCACAACAAAGTGTACCGTTCGTATCTATGGCGCTCGAAAACTCGCCATAGATCCTGCCAAGAGTTGCCGTCTGTGTGATGACAAATGGGCTGTGCGTCAGTTCTCTGTACCTCACGTAGCTCGATACCGTTTCTTGTTTTCTTTTCTTGCCCTACGTCAGGGAGGACCTCATTCGAGAGGCTCTGGAGCGAGATTGGGTGCCGCTGCTCATGGGGTGGCTCGGAGCTGACACGCGTCCGGCGGTGCAGGTGTGTGGGTTTTTGTTGTTGTTGCTGTTAACTGCTGTTGTGAGTACTGCTGCTGTTGTTGTTGGTACTGTTGATGGTACGGTCCGTCTCCTTTGCTTGTGTATTGTGGGGTTGTGTGTGGGTTTTTTTTATTCTTAGCATCGACCGCGCTAACCCGCTGGCGAATGGAAATACCTGCGGCCTTTGCGTGCGTGTGCGTCTGTCAAGGTGGAACCACCGCTCTGGGCCGTGGCCAACACCTTCTCCTTTAATACCCCCTTCGCTCCCTCTTCCGTACGCTTTGCCCGCGTGTATAGGTAGCGCCGTGGGCCCTGGCCAACATCTACCTTTTTCCTTTAACCCCCCCCCCCCCC